CGCACTAAACTAAGGCCACATCTACACTACCCACCGGATCGGCAGGTAGTGATTGATCTATTGGGGATCGATTTATCATGTCTAGTGTAGATGCGATAAATCGATCCCAGATTGCTCTGCCGTGGACTCCGAACTCCACCAGGGTGAGAGGCAGAAGCGGAGTTGACGGGTGAGCGGCGGCCGTCGATCCCACGCCGTGAGGACGCGAAGTAAGTGATTTTAAGTCAATCTAAGATATGTCAACTTTGAAGTTGCGTATCTTAGATCAATCCCCCGCCCCCTTAGTGTAGACCAGGCTTCAGGTACTTCCTACAGCACCTTGCTTCCTTTGTGAGTGTTATGGATTCAATCTAGCAGGTCTTTTCCATTGCTGACATTTCTGATTATAAAGCAGCTAACAGAAGTTAGACCTTCACTAACTGACATTCTGAGTGGATGAGAGAGAGTTGTACAACAGTGTATTGTAAAACTTGTGTTTTTTATGCCTGAGAAAAACTATTAATCTGCATTTAGAATGTCAGAAAAGGTTCCAATCCAAACCTATGACTTGTATGTTTCAGTTGGTATTTCTTAGGACAAGTACTAAGATTTATTTCAGGTCAGGGTATTAAGTGAACTTCTCCCTTCCACACCCCATTTCTTTGCCTTAGTATTGTCAAGCCCTTCCCACCTCCCAGCATTCTTAATCACAGAATTAGACAGTTACTCTGTGTTAAAGACGCCTTTGAGAGGCTCTTACCTTCATTCAGATGGACTCTGATGACCCCATCAGGGCATTTTCTGCAAGTTCTTTGGCTGTTCCTGAACCAAAAATGACTTTGTCTGATTAGAAAAATGTAAAGGTGAAACCAAACTCAGCTGGAGTGAGGAACTCAGGCAGCCACAGGCAAATACTAAAACGACCAGGATCTCTTAGGAGGTAAATTGGCTTCAGTTTGGTTTATGATGTGGGTTCCAACACTGTCAAAAAAACCTTTGAGCACCAAACTCTTTGGAAGGTGCATTTCTCCAATGGAGCTTAAAATCAGACAGGAAACTTTCACAGGGGATCGTCTGACATTCTGCTTAATGCACAGCTGCTCAGCATTAACTAACGTGAGAGATATTTTATAGATCTTGTTAACGTGTCACATGCTCCAGTCTGGTTCTGCTAGTGCCTAGCATGTGTTACAAGTCACTTCATGGAATAGAATTCAGTGTCGGTTCTGGCCAGTGGCCCTTGGGGACTTTGACTGGAGCAATACTGAGTTCACCCCACGAATTTCAGGTAAAAGAGGATGCGTTGCTGGATATGGACAGTGGCCAAAGGAATGTGAGGGTAATTGGGATGTAACACCAGTTCGCAGCAGTAGACCCACAGACTTCAGGGACTGGTTTAATAAAGAGTCAGTACATGTTTTAAAATTTCACTGCCAGCTGTTTTAGGATCCGATTTAGAATGGCTTCTCTGGCTCCTACATGCCATTCAGTGTTGCAATTCTGACTAGAACAACCTATGCTGGGACACTGAGTAATCCCCATTCAAATCTATTACACCAAGAGGGTAACAGATGCAGAAACTTTCACTAGTGAAGATATGAATCGCAGCTTGGCACCTGCCCTTTGAAGAAAATTTACGTTGTCCACTGCAGAATGTATTTCAGGTTTCATGTCCAAAGTAGTACAACAAGGAAGCTAGACAGACAGAGAGGCGAACAGACAGAGCCATATATATGAAGCATACCACAGAATTGACTTCTTAATTAAAAGCATGTAATTGGGGAATTGGCTTAGACTCAAATTTCTTTTCCTGCCTTGTCTGGAAGCTCCTATCTTTCCCACAGCAGGCATGGTAGCCTGTCTCGCTCTCTCCTCCTGGAAATGTTTGCATGTATGAATTACAGGGATCTGGTTTTAACAGGAGCATACTTGACTGAGGCTCTGATACACCTCACCCTGAGAGCTATAACAATGCAGCCACATTCCAAATCCGTGGGAGATAACAGCCTACTTCTGAAACCAACAAGCCTTCCCTACCCTACCTTTGCGTTCAAAGTACTTTTTTCTTTAGATGGGAACTGAAAGACTCTGTACCTCCATGACCTCCTTTGACTCTCACGGTTACAACAAGACTAAGGTCTAAAGTAGGCCAGGGAGGAAAGCTGGTAGAATTTATCAAATAGTTTATTCACTAAGAAATACAGTTTCAGTTGATCTGAAACTATTCGCAAATATGATAAGAATTCACTAAATAGTTTTTGGCCAAAATGTTCATTTTGGGGCCTTAGACACCATTCCAGAAACAGCCAGAGGAGGAGGAAGAGGAAGTGGTGGGGCAGTGCCCACCTTATAAGCTTTGGCCCAGCGGTTAGGGCACTCAGCTAGGATACGGAGGACCCAGGTTCAGTTGCTCACTCTGCCTGATGTGGAACAGGGATCTGAACTTGGGTCTCCTGCTCTGCAGGAGAGAGTGCCCGAACCGCTGGTCTCCTTGGTCTCTCTTGTTGAAACTGTTGTGTATAAATGATCCAATAGTCACTGGAGCAGGAACTTGAGCCACTCATCTCCCAGGTGAGTGCCATAAAAACCAGGTACAGAGAGATTCTCACTCTCCCTCTCTGGTCCTGACTATTAAAGTACAACAGCATCAGCATGCGAGAGAGTATAGCGGCATGCCTTCAGCGCCAGAGTTATGCGGACATAACCCCATAGTAGACTCAGCCCGTGCTGATGGAAGGGTTTTTCCCACTGGCGTAGGCCCACTTCCCTGAGCGACAGTAGCTAGCTCTACAAAAGCATTGACACCTAGCTGTGTCTACCCTCGGGGTCAGGGTTGGCATAACTACATCAATCAGGAAGTGGAGTTTTTCATACCCCTCAGGGATTTAGCTATGTCAGCCTAAATTTTAAGTGTAGATTAGGCCTGAGAGAGACCAGCCCCAGAATATCCCACAGTCCAGTGGTTAGGACACTCCCTTGCAATGGGGGAGATCTAAATTCAAAAGCCTGCTTCATATCAGGCAGAAGGAGGAATTGAACCCAGGCCCCCGCAGGCCAAGGGAGTGCCCTTACCATTGAGCTAAAGGCAATAAGGAACACAGCACCACCATCACCATCTCTTTCTCCTCTATTCTGTGAATCTAGTGCTTCGGAACATTTCATCTGATAACAATTTTGGTTGAGATCTACTTATCAATTTTCTGTTTTGGTGAAAGTGAAACTGGGTTTTTTTGGTTTTATGTTTTGTTTCATTGTTCAGAACTTCCAGAGAACTGAAACATTAGTTGTTCACCCAGCTTTAACTGGGAGCTATGCTCCTCATCCTGCTCTCAGCATCTGTGATGCCATTAACACTAGCAATGAAAACACAGAGCACAGAGAATCTTGGCTGATAATTTGATTGTCTTCCTTTTGTTTTAAATTTTTTTTCGCTGGTAGCTTTTCATTCCACACATATCAGGGACCCCATTACTGAACTTGGATCTTAAACACATTCTTTTAAAAAACATTTCTGCCCATGTAAGGCAGGAATTGTGATTCACCCTCCCCAACAAAGCCAGCCCTGATCCCTCGCCACTCGCATCCCATCTCCTCTGTGCAATGGCAACTCCGGAAGCTATTGCATGGTAAATATCAGGACAATATGAGCAGTACAAGCTTTACTGCATTACCCCTGAAAGAACTAGCAGAACTCACTGTATTCCAATGGCTGCCACATTCAGTTTACATGGACTTATTGGGGAAGAGAGATTCAGTGGAGGTGTAGGGAAGCAGGGAAAACCTGGTATACATTTTTGGTAAGTGACTTCCTTCTCTACCTCCGTTAGCTGTGCAGCTTTCTTTTCATTGGCTCTGTACAGATATAACCTCTGCAGCTCTGAATCTGCCTGTGCCAGTGCATTAGGAGCATGTGGTACTGCCCTCTTTATAAATCTCAGCCCTCTTTCCTATACCCTTTCATTTCCAACGTTCCTTCAGTTCAGTTCTGTAATTGTACTAGTTAGCACTATAAAACTTTTTGGAATGAAAGATGCTTCACAAAATATCTTGCACTGCATGAAGACCCTGATACAATGCCCTGAGTTGGTTCCAACTCCTACTGTATAACTCACACCTGGCCCTTACGTGCAAAGTGGTTGCCTCTTCCAGAGTGAGCACAGTGTATACTGCTCACAGAACACGTGGCATCTCTCTCGATTATTTTAAAGTGCATGTGATAATCCAAGGGTTGGGGTGAAGGACTAACTTGAATCTAGCAACACTGAAGCCCCTCAGACTATCCCAACTGTACCCTAAATGTTCTCACAACATAACATTTCACCCAGAACTAATTTTAACTTTCACAGAGGGATCAGCCTCAGATCATTCCACTAAGCTCAAAACTGGGGGTCAGGAGAGGGGATCCCAATCAAGGGCTTGCTGCCCAGGGTGAGGATTTCCCAATATTCTCATCAACCATTCAGTCAGTATGTCCTGGACTTGCAGAACACAAAGGTCCAGCAAGTCCCTATTTTTGCCCACAACAGTGCAACCCAGGTTCTCATCTCAACATAGGTAGCTAATTTTCAGCTTATCCCATGAGATATGTTGAGCCATCCTAGGGTCATTGCAAAACAGCAAGAGGCTTAACCCAACTGTGCAGTCAGTTATGGAGGCAATAATACACTGCACAACAGAGTCCAAAGGACAAAGCTGCAGGATAAATACTGGTGACCACTTTATTTAATCCTACTCATCTGTGTATAAAGATCATTGTCATCCACACAAACAACAGCAAACCTTAGGGCATCTAGTCATTAGGTAACCCTTACAAAGCCTGCACTCATGGCCCAGTTCAGGGAACTGGAGAGCACCCGACAAAGACAAAACCAGAGACAACTTAAAAGAAGACAAAACCCACCAGAGGGATTAAAAACAGACAACATACGCATCTGGGTCAATGCAAAGTTAGAGGCAAAGCACCGTCTGCATGCACATTTGCTGCCATAGAGACAAGGACCCGGCCCTTGTGAGCAACTGACCTGCTGCTGCCCTGCAGTTCCTCCAGCTCCTTCTGCAGCTTGGCACTTTTCTCCTCTTCCTCCTGGAGCTTCCTCTTCACCATCCGCAGCTCCTGCTGAGCCTCACACTTGATATCATTGGCCACCACCACTGCAGTCTGCAGGTCAGCTTGAAAACGCCTCCACTCCTCTGTATCTTCCTAGAAAGGGCAAGTACAAATATGGGCTGAGTAGGAATGTCCCTACTAGAGATGGACACATCACACATTGGAAATCACTTTATCAGTGATCACTGATGACTTTTGTGGCATGTCAGAGTTTCATGATGACACTGAGGTCGCAGTAGATATGTGCCATTTGGTAGTGACAGGATTGCCAAAAAAAGAACTGACACTAATTTGTATTACCTTTTCCATCTAAAAAGGAAATCAGAGTACTTATTACCATTATCCACTTATCTAACAATCTTAGGGCTGCAATAGCTCTAGAGAGCAGATATTGCTGTGGAAAGATGAGCTCCTTTCTGCTTCATGTCCCATCATCAGCTATACAGCACTGGCCATCCCAAAGCAGGGGAAGTTCATGGAGAAAGGTTTCAGAGGAACAGCCGTGTTAGTCTGTATTCGCAAAAAGAAAAGGAGTACTTGTGGCACCTTAGAGACTAACCAATTTATTTGAGCATGAGCTTTCGTGAGCTACAGCTCACTTGAAGTGAGCTGTAGCTCACGAAAGCTCATGCTCAAATAAATTGGTTAGTCTCTAAGGTGCCACAAGTACTCCTTTTCTTCATGGAGAAAGAAGCACAAGTGTCCTGGAGACCTGGACTAAACCACTGCAAATTACAAGAAACTCATCCTATTCCTCAGCTCCCTCATTGACTGCCACACCTGCTTCCCCTTCTTTGAGGAGAAAGGAATTGAATAAAGCAGAAAGGATATGCTCTGATATTAAGGTATCAGGTGAAGTTGGCAGTTCCAGCATCTTTGGTTTGTGCATATATTTACTCTGGAAATCACAGCTGGAGACGAAGGACCATATCTCAACATAAATGTCCTAGTGATGTCAGTAGGACATCTGCATGTGGACTGATGGCCTGGGATGGTTTTTTATATGGAATACAGACACTTGGACAGAAACACGTCATCTTTAGGTCAGTAACAGAACTTTAGCAAGTTTGTTCTATCAGCAGCAGCAAATGGCCTTTGCCTGTTGTGATGGTCAGTAGCAGAGTTATTTAAAAACTCTTCTCTGTATATTAGTTAATATTTGTACATAGCTTTGAAATGTAACATGCTACCTAGGTGCCAAGGATTATTACTTGCTTGTAGTATATGTGTTTCTTAGATGCTAATGTAACAGGCAGATCTTCTGGGCCTCTTAAATGTTGCTTCACGTGGACGTAGAGGCACTGTTGAGCTGGAGCCGGTTCGCACCGGTTCGCTAGAACCGGTTGTTAAATTTAGAAGCCCTTTTAGAACCGGTTGTTCTGTGAGGGACAACCGGTTCTAAAAGGGCTTCGAAATTTAACAGGCCAAAAGTGGTGCCTTAGGCGCCGACTCCACAGGTGCTCCAGCCCTGGAGCACCCAAGGGGAAAATTTGGTGGGTGCAGAGCACCCACCGGCAGCTCCCCACCCCGCACCCGGCCCCAGCTCACCTCACCTCCGCTCGGCCTCTGCCTCCTCCCCTGAACGCACCGCCCCGCTCTGCTTCTCGGCCCCCACGCCGGCTTCCCGCCAATCAGCTGTTCGCACGGGAAGCCAGGGCAGGCTGAGAAGCAGGCGGCCGCTTCCCACTCAGGCCCAGGGAGGCGGAGGTGAGCTGGGATGGGGGTGGGGGGGCGTGAGGAGGGCCACCCACGCCGCAGCACGTAACCCGGGGGGGGTGCGCAGGGGAACCAGTCCCCGCCCCAGCTCACCTCCGCCACGCTTGGCCTGAGTGTGAAGCTGCGGCCTGCTTCTCTGCTCTCCCCGGCTTCCCACCGAACAGCTGATTTGCGGGAAAGGGCGCGGAGAAGCAGAGCAGGGCAGTGCGTTCGGGGAGGAGGCGGAGCGGAGGTGAGCTGGGGCTGGGTGCGGGGAGCTGCCAGTGAGTGCTCTGCATCCACCAAATTTTCCCCATGGGTGCTCCAGCCCCGGAGCACCCAGGGAGTTGGCACCTAAGGCACCACTTTTGATGTGATCAGTGGGGGGAGCAGCCGCTCCCCCTGCTCCCCCCCTAGCTACACTCCCCTGCCCCTAGGAGCCAGAGGAACCTGCCGGATTCTTCCTGGGAGCTGCCCCAGGTAAGCACTGCCGGGACTCCCCACCTCCCCCCCCGGCAGGTGCCTCTGGCTCTTAGGGGTGGGGTGGGCACCCACTATGGTGGCCCACAAGACCCTCCTGCCCAGTTCTGGGGGCAGTCAGGGGACAGGGAAGGGGGGGTCGATGGGGCAGGGGTGGGCAACAACCCCCTCGTGGGGAGAGGAAGGAACCCGTTGTTAAGATTGTGGCAGCACATCACTGCATACAGGCCTGCATCAGATATAGACGTGGGCTTATTAACCCTGGTCTGACAGAGGCTTATGGCATCTGCAAAGAGGCTGATGCCTCTAAACAATAACTGTATTGCCACGTGCTGCCCAGCCTAGCAGTAACACTGCTATCAGAGCAGCCTGGATTGTACTTTCCCTCTCAGCCAAAGAGAAAGTTAAACTCCTCTGAGAGTGAATGGGGGAGTGGGAGAGGCCTTTTTTCAAGATATTTTGAGAGCTGGCAGATGGGTCTTTTGAAATGAAATGTGGTGTTTGGCTCAAAGCCAGCAGTCAGGTGAAAACGCTGAGGAATCTGACCATCACCTTTATCTGTTTAGTCAGACCCTTCAGCTGCCTCTCCAGATCCAGTTTGTGCTCTTCTAGCTTCATCACATTACCTGCAAATAGTCAAGATGGGAAAAACTATTAGAGACACGATGCCCAGGGTGAAGAGTGGGTGAGGGAGAGGGAATCAGCACCCTTGATGATGCCCATGGTAAAACCCATTACTGAACCAAACTCTTTTGTCTATGAGACAGTGGATTTAACAGTCAGAAACAGCCTTAAATTGAATAGTCATGTTCTGGGCTTTGTCCCAGATATGGAAGCTTATAGGACTGTATACACATCACATATTCACTGGGGTGCCCAACTCTAGGTAAAAAGTTTAGAAAGTGAGATGTGCAACTCATGCCAGCAGGTGGCATTTTTCCATTCCCATAACACCACCACCTCCTAGCTCTTATATAGCCCATATCACCAGATATCAAAATACTTTACAAAGAAAGACAATAAACCTAGTTTAAAAGCCAACATCTAGATATGGGCAATATTCCATTCAGCTGAAGGATAGAGAGTTTGGAGATTTTCATTACTATTATTTCTACAGCGCCACGCGTACATGTAATGTTTTACACACAATAAACGAAGCAAGTCCCTGCCCTGTGAAGACTGCAGTCTACATTGATGAGACTGATCAAAGTGGGAATTACTAGACACCCTCCCTTCCCCACACTGCTCGAGTATATGCCTCAGCCTTGGCTCTGGGCCTGCTCCACCTACTCTCCAGTTCACTGATGAGCTGGTTGTTGTGCAGTTTGATAGCACGTTGCTGCTCCACCTGGTCCTCCAGCTCAAAGATGGTCTCCTTCAGGTTTTTGATCTCAGACTCATTCTCAGAAGTTTTCTCCTGCAGCTTCAGGCTGTTTCTGCTCAGCTGTTCAGCCTGTCGGTCATACAGTTCCTTCAGCTGACCACATTCCTTCTCCACCTGGAAGGAAGGAAAGAAAGCTGGAAGTCTGCCCTGGCAGCTCACTGACAATAGGACAGACTTTAGTGGATGTTCCATGCACTGAACAGGATTGGCCCAATATTCTAGGCACTGCACAAACTCAGGAGTTCTAACGCACCTGACAGTGAGCTCCAGGAACTGTGCATGAGCTATGCTTTGTCAACACTCTTCACAGCAGAAAGGTAATATCAGGAAGGGGCAGGAGAGGAAATTAAGTCTGCTAGATGGGAGAGAAATTACAATTCTAAATCAATCACTGCAGCCAAGGTATAGAGCAATGCCTCCTCTTGAAAGTCAAAGCCCCTAGCCATTCCATTGCTATGTCACATTACGAGAGTGATAGAGCTAGAGTTGGGCCTAGAAGCAGACCTGTTTGTCTACATTAACCATTTCACTGCTGCCTCTCTATGGCGTTTGCAGTGGATGGCCAGGATGTACGTGGTAGCTCTGGCAGCTCCAGGGTAAATGCACTTCCCAGACATACTGTACCTGGAATTACTGAAGGTGTGAATGCACTGCAGTTCAGCTGGTCAGTTTAGACACAGAGATCAACAGCAGTGCTTCCAAGGACAAGGAAACTGCAAGCCTCTCAGAGTAGGAAACAGGGTTCTGGAAAACCGAGGCACATGCTGCCAGTTCTGTGGACAGAACTGGCAGAGTTTGGCTACAGGGAAGCCTTAGAGAAGCCTGTGGTCTTGTCTGGGTGTCACAAATGGCAAAACAACCTAATTCAATGGAAGGAAAGAGTAAAAAGGAGGAAATTTGTGGTTTAAAAACCAAGCAATAAAAAAAGCAATACAAATTTAGTGCAGAGTTGGAGCATTCAGCAGTTTTTCATTTATTCTTCATAAAGCATAGCCTCAGTGAACATGCCAACGCACTAGGAGTCTCCCCTACTATATTCCATTTGCTGTGGTCACCTACTCCAGCTGAAAGAACATCTGGATTTCCTAAATCACTCAAACCATAGAGGTGCTTTTTGGCAACGCTCACTTCCTCTCCAACTACTCAGCTCCATAGTTCTCCCCTGGCCAGGAACCACGGTGGACACTGGTGCTCTCTCTGCAGTGGTAGACATTAATCAGAGGCTTGCATGACAGTTACACTTACTCTGTGACACCCAACAGTGCAGCTACACTCTGAACACCTGGGCTCAGATAGAAAATGGAATCAGTAATGATTTAGAATTGCTGGGGACTGAAAGTAAAGGGAAGAAGCTATAAACTACAGAACTAGGAGAGGGAAAACTGCTCTAAAACAAATTGTTTCTGTAGCCATTAAATAAGTGCTTGATTTCAGGTTTTGTGAAACATCACACATGACATGGCATTTAAAAAATTGTTCTGGAATCCCAAAAACTGCACTAATAATGTTAGTTAGGGTCAGCTTTATAACAGTTTAACAGCATATATGACTGGGGGGGGGGGGGTGAGGGGGCAGGCAAGAAGAGGTGGGCAGTTCAGGGGACACTATTTTCTGCCCTGCAGCATGATGGACTCAGTTATCTAACAGGACTTTTCTGTCTCCACCAATTGTCATATATAGACAACCTGGGATCCACATCAGCAGGCTATATGTTAATACCCGCATTGCAAGGTGCTAGCTACACCACTGCTATGTTGCCGGATACTATTCAGGACCACTACATTACTCTTCCCTTGAAATTCCTTTACCTCATCTATCAACACCCAAGCCCCCTGAAAGGCAGAGGAGACATACTGTCTTGGATGAAATCACATCAGTAAAAATCAAACAAAGACCCTTCCATGAAAAGGACCATACTAATTAAAAATGGAAATGACCAATCAGACCATCAAGTCAGTTTCTCTACCAGGCAAGATTTAGTCCTCAAACAGATTACACTCAGTTTTAGCCAAAAGTATATAAAATTGCTAATGTGCTAGCTGATACTTCGTATCTGAATTCAGTAGGATGGTCCAATATTATATTAATGTTTTTACAAAAATTCATTTTGGGCTTGATCCTGCATTATTTTGAGTCAACTGACTTGACGCCATTGATTTCAGTGGACGCAAGACCCTTTATTCTCATGCCAGTAACACTGGTAGGACCAGTCATTTGATTCACTACTTGGTAAACCAACATGATTCGGCCTGACTTTAAAATTTGCTGTTCACTAACCATCAGTTATTTAGTTCTCTTTGAGTACAGAAACCTGATACTAGAAATTTATGCTTGCTCAATCAGAAAATAGACCCAATATCATGTGACCTATGAATCCAATCAAAACTAACTAGTGTAACTCAAATTTAAAATCTTGAGTACTCACAGTGAACTGCTCACAAATGATCTAGAGACGAGGAATTAGTCTGCAAATAATTCTGAGAGAATAAATTTGCAAAAAAATCCTATATAACTTGCACATTTGTCAAAGGAAAAAATTAACGGATTAGATTATTCACTATAAATTATTCACTCAGCTCTACTTCATTACTGGTCTTTGTCTCATGAAGAAACCACTGTATTGGTTGATGGGGGAAGGCGGGCATCTGGTGGCCTTGAATGTGAATCTATTTTTGTCTTACCTTGGCCAGTAGGCCCTGGACATGTTTTACTTCACTGTTTGCCTTCAACAGCTCTTGTTTGAGCTCTGTACAAGCCAGTTCTAACTGATCCTTCTCTGCATGGGCCACTTTCAGCATCTCTTGCACCTCAGAGTTGTCAGTAATACATCCCATTGCATTGATCTCTGCAGCTTTTTGTTTCTCACTTTCTAATTGAGTTCTGAGAGATCCATTTTCAATCTTCAGGCCTTCTAAGGCAACTTTACAGTCTTCTAGAGACTTTGCCACCATGCTGTTGTTCTGTCGTTCCATTTCCAAAAGCCCACCCAACTTCTCATTTTCCTCTCTTAGGCCCTTGATCACCTCCTGAGCATCTTGATGCTCCCTTTCTAAGCTCCGTAGGCTGCTGGATAATTGTTGCTGGATGTTGAGCAGCTTTTCTCTTTCAAACTGTGCTTTCTCAAGCAATTCTGTGCATTTCTGCTCTAGTTCAAGGATTTTCCCCTCCTGAACTTTGGTTTCTTCATTCTTGGATCGCTCTTGTAGGACAGTCATCAGCTTTTCTTTTTCTTGACTAAGCTGTTCTGCTCTCTCTTTGTGCTGATGAAAGGAGGTCTCCAGCAGAGCCTTCTCTTCCACTAGCTTCTCATTTTCTGCTGTCAGCTCCTGCACCATTTGTTGCTGGTCTGACAGCTCCTGCAAAGTGGCTTGAAGCTCTTCTGCTGTGCTGTGGTGGTTTTCTTCCATTTTTTGTATCTTCTCTGTCAGGGAGGCCACAGAAAGGTCACTAATGTTGTTTGGAGAACTCCCTGTGGTGGAGCATCTGGAACCCTTAAAGGGGTTGCTGTTGGAGGACGTTGGCCTAGAAGGTACATCTGCTATATGTTCAAAATCAGATGCATCGGGTGACAAAGAGGCTTTAGTCACATCACTGCTAGAAGAACCTGACTTTCGCACTGCTTCTCCATTCACACGCTGTCTGGGCTCATCTGGTTCACCTCTCAATAGATTTTTTGTTGGGCTTCCAAAACTTGATTCTTGAGTGATTGGGGTTGTGAAGCTGCTGTCGCCCCCGCTGCTTGTTGTTGTGTCCGAGAGAGGGGAGTGCTCTAGATAAATCAGTTTCTCCTTCAAAACCCGGTTTTCTTCCACCAGGCTAGCAAGTTCTTTTTGAAAAGTCCTGTTCTTTTCCTGAAGAGTCTGTATTAATGGGTCTATGTCACCAGGTGACATTGGTAACATTTCTACGTTTTGGTCTGAAGCACCAATCCCTTCAGAGTTAACTGACCCTTTGTCTTTGCATTTCTTCAGCTCACTCCGGAGCTTGGTGATTTCAGTGTCTTTTGTCTTTGCTTCTGCCAAGAGTTCCTTAACCTGGGACTCCAGAACTGCCTTGTCCCCAGTTTCATTCTCTTGCTTGGACTTGGCAGAAGGACGCAGGTGCTTGGTAGGGGTGGGCGTGCCCGAAGAAGTTGGGCTGGGCTGAGTTTTCCTGGTGTTGGCTGGACCACGCAACACAGCTCTCTCTCTGGAGACAGTTGATGAAATTTCCCGAGGAGCCGGAATCCCTGTGCGCTTCGCTGATGAAACAATTCCTTGAAGATAGAAGAGAGAAGAGATGAGACAAATTCAGTAATTTCCTATGTGAAACAAGTCATGTGACAACAAAGTTATGGCCTACAGCTGCCACAGGAAAACACCTGGATGTCTGAATAGCTTCGGTCATGGATTTCTTCATCATGAACACTTGTATTAATTTCATATTCCCTCCTCCTCAGGAAAGGAGCAATCTGCCCAACTCCCTCCCACTAGGCAGCATAATCTGTAGCTGCTTCAATATATTTTTAAAGTGTAATGCCAAATTCCACAATGTTAATTGACTGACAAAAAGCAATGGCGTCCTTAACTATTTTAATTATATCATGTTAACTGAATTGAAATGCTTAATTAAAAACTGATGGGCAGTTTCTAGAAGAAAAGCCCACTAACCTTGGACACGTTTCTGACTTTGGTTGTAAAACCAGGTATTGCCAGCACACATGAAATTGATGTATTTACATTTTAATCAATTTATAAGGAACAGTTTTAATAAGAAGGAAAATTAACCAAAGACGAGCAGATAGAGATGGCTAATGGGCCATGGATAGGTTTCTGTTGGAAGAAATAAATGAGAATCTGTTTGCAAGGTAGAACTTATGTTACTCTTGGGCCTTGAGCCCATCTGATTAGCACTGACTCTCAGCATCTTTAATGCAGCAATGGTCCACTCAGAACTCATAAAAAAGGCAGATAGCATCCTGACCTGTTTGGTAGTTGGCTTGTATTTTTTCCTGGTGTGAATGAGCAATTATTTCAAAGTATTTTCTTGTGAACCACTTACGATAGAAATTAATTGCATACCTCCACTGGTATTGGAAAGCAATCCCAGCTTTCCAATAATAGATTTAAGTTTTCCCCATCTTTGGTGGCGCTTCATGAGGTAACAGCTCTTAAAACCACATTATTCCAATTATACTCTTGCATAGCTACTGCTGTCTTGTGCTTGTTGAATAACATCCTGACCTGAGATCTAACCAATGTGCACTGAAAAAAGGTTTCAATTCTCATGTAGAGTTAGTTAAATAGGACCTCTGGAGCAGAGAAATTCTCACCACTGGAAACCTAAACACAAACACAGAAAATTCTGTTTCTGCAGGTTCTCAGAAACACAGAAAACAATATGGGGAATTCACTTAGAACGGTTTAGCATTTTAAAAGCCCTACCAGCCAATGGGATGGGTGACAAGGAGACAAAAGGGAAGTTGATGCTGAAATCTTCATTTCCATTCTAATGACAAAGTTTTACCTGCTTACAAATTCACAATATTTAAAATGGAATTGGTGAAATTCCACAAAAATTCTGGAAGTGGTGAAGTTACTGAGACCAGATCTCTGTAGTTAGGTTAGAAAAGGGAGCTCTGGGTATGGAAGCAACCCAGGGTCTGTTATGACAATTGGGCCTACAAATTTACCTGAATTGTGAGTTCCACCGTAAAAGCTGTGTAAAAGTCCGTAAGATGTTACCATGAGCTAAAAAGACAAATGTTGATGGGAAAAGGTACGAAAGGGAGACAGAATAATTGAGTTAGTCTAAACAAAAAGGCCAAGTTAATATAATTCAAGGACTGTGTTTAAATTATGCTGGTTAAAAGATATGGAGCAGGAAGCTAATGAGCCAAAACTGGTATGTCAGATATTAGGCCTAATTGGTGGACAAAATAGTGAGGGGATGGGCTATTTCACCCATCACTTCTTTTTTTGGCCCTTAAAAGAAAGATTTTGAGCGGAAAGGATGAAAGAACAAAAAGAAGAACAGACAAAAAGAACAGATGTTACTGGAACGAGCTTCACCTCATGGCTGCCACCCCCACTGATCCTGGGACCCCAGGCCTTCAGCATCTTAATCCTAAGAGGTGTACTGAACAGAACAGGCCAGAAACAAATGAACCCAAATGACACTGCCATCCCTACTGGCTCCAGCTGAATCCCAAACACCAAACTAAGATGAAACAGGATCAAGTTTTAACAGAAACATCAACAGGAGCAGTGGAAGCTCCAGCTCATCTCAACCATAGGGCTGCCTCCTTTCTAATTGCTGGTAACCGGACCCCTAAGGCCCTGCCCCACCTCTTCCCTCAAGGCTCTGCACCTTCTTTGCCTCTTCCCCCGAGGCCCTGCCCTTATCGCTCACTCCTCTTCCAAGCCCCACCCTCTCCCATTCCTCCCGGGATTGTCTCCACCTCACCACCACCTCACACTGGGCTCCCTCTGCTCTGGGTCTGGGATAGGAGCTGCTGCAGCCTAACAAGGAGCCTGCCTTCAGGTAGGAGGTGGCCCCAGCTGAGCAGAGGTTGGCACGAGCTAATGACCCAACCTCCCTCCCTCCACCTCGTGGTAACTTGGCTTTTGTTGTCCGGTCAGACACTGCTGGGTCTCTTTTTTGACACAACCCTACTCAACCATCTTCTTCTCTTTTCCCCAAAGGACAGTTATTACCATCTTTAATACCATCTAAGAGACTGTCAAACACAGGAATTTTTCCTTCTAAAACTCTCCAGCTAAAGGGAAAGGGAACAAGGGATGTTGTCAAAAACGAAAGCCCTACTTAATACTTTACATTTCAAAGTGTTTTAACTGTTTTTCCTTCTTTTCTTTATCTTTAATAAAAGGTTAAAATGATTTTTAATGGTGTGTTTGACATAACATTGAATGCTGAGATCTTTATATCATGCCCTGAACCTTGTTTAACACTGTTTAATGTTGAATAGTGACTGGATTATGTTAACACCTTTGGCCCATTTATTCCATCTAACTTAATACAACAGTCCTCCTAATGGGCTGTTAAGACTGAGAGCTGTGACTAACTAGACTTCGGAACACAGAATCTGCAGGTGCTGGAGAGAAGCATCATGGGTGCTCAAAGCCATGGAAGGGTTATCAAGGGTATGATGAAAGGAGAAGAAGTGGTTTAAGGCTGGCACAGGTGGCATGACACAAGGGAACTATTACTCCTATTTTATAGGTAAAAAAACGGAGACAAAGAGGTTAAGTGACTTGCCTAAGGAGAAAAACAAAGTCAGTAGCAGAACTGGGATTAGAATTCATGGAATTCCTGACTCCTCAAGCTACCTGGCCTTGTCTGACACATACTCCACTACAGAAAAGTGCTATTCCACCGAGGACATGGGTCTTATGGTTTTGATATAATTTAAGAGATTTAGGAGGAAAACATTGAATGCAGCCACACAACAGGGTCACAGTGAGCCAGGTGCTTGCAGCAGAGGAGGGCTCCAGGATCTGTCCCTGAGTGAGTGCTAGAACCAATTACGTTTTGCAGAATAAGGGCAGATAACACTAAAGGGAGTTTAGTGAGCTGTGGCTCACGAAAGCTCATGCTCAAATAAATTGGTTAGTCTCTAAGGTGCCACAAGTACTCCTTTTCTTTTTACTAAAGGGAGAGCAGACCCTAAAACTCAGTGCTTGGATCTGAAGCAGTCATTTTGCAGGATTGCATGGCTGCTGCATTACATAGCAGGCAAATTCCAAATTCTCTCAACACAATTTTCCACACACTGAGAAAGCCCCAGCGTGGCTCTTGCATTTTAGACCTGCATGGCACCGAAGAGTTAATGTCGACCACACACTGTTTGCTCAGCAGCTCTTTGGAGAATGCAATACATTTATAAAACCCCCACAAATGGGGGCATCTCCTCCTTTCTCCGAAATAAATGTCCTAAGCCAGCACAATAAACATGGAGGGACAATGAGAGGGTTGAAGAAAAGACCCCCTAAAACAGAGAGGGGACTTTGCTCCAGAGAGAGCACAGTAACAGCTCTGTGTAATGTTAAAGGCAGGATAAGGCAGAAGACAAAGGCTGCAGTGTTTATGGGAAGAGATAGCAGGAATATTCTGGCTGGACTGCAGGCAGCCCACACAGCCAGGCTACATTTAGTCATCTACAGCTGGCGAAGCCAGCATGCCATAGCGGCTCTCAGCTCCCCAGTGAAAAGCAGAATGGAAGTAGAGACTATGTTTTTTCCTTTCCAATTCAAAGGGCCACCGGTGGAATGCTGGATCTTAAAACTCATTTTACACATCACATTACGGGAGCACAGGCCCATCGCTTAAACCATGGGAGGTCCCCATTATTTAACTCAAGGGCTCCCACTTGCCAAGAGCAGGCATTTCTGAACTGCATGCCCTTCAAGCGCAGAGGAAGAACAAGCCCTTGGTTTCCATGCACTAACACCCAAGACTGGAATGTGGGGGAAATCAAATGGTCTGTGACATGTAATAAGTGTCACTTCCAGCTGCGGAAAGCTCAGTACAGCTCTTTGTGGCTCAGAAGGGTAGAGACGCCCTTCAGCTAACACCTGGGGATGCAGCTGCCCATAGTGAGTGAAAGGCCTTGTCTGAACCTTAGCTGAATCTTGCACTCTCAATGGGATAGTATAGACCTATGCACCAAGTAGATGCATGCCTGCTGCGTTCATACCACATACAGCCAAGCAAACTATAAATCATACCACAGATTTCAGAGGTAAAATATGCATTACACATGAAAACAGATGTGCTGGGCACAGCTCATGTAATGTACTCTCCTGCACTGCTACTGAACATGGGGGATCCCACAGTCAGAGAGACTTGGGCAGAGCCGGCTGTTCAGATTCTTTCAGTGTAAAGCAGATATCAAGCAATCCACTCTTTGTGGACTTTGTGCAAATCTGACCAAAGCAGCACAGTCATCTCTCTGTCTCAGGACATGTGAGCCACAGGGAAATAGAAATGGAAAAGGCAAGACTGCTTGCTGGCAGAATGATTCCTCATCACCTCTTCAGGCATCGTCACTGTTGCGATACCAGCAGGTGGACTTTGCATTAGTATTCAAGATGAAGCTCAGAAGGATAATTTCTTAGCCATCCAGTAGCTGAAGTTGTAAGTCTGTCTGATATCCATGGGCCTGGCCAGTGTCCTACAAGCCTGGCTCCCAGATAATTTAGAGCCTGCACTGGTTTGGACCACTCAAAGTCAGTGATGTGACCTTGTCATCAGGTC